ATATGCTAATTTTTTGGGACAGGCATTTTGGGTTTTCATGAGCTGTATGCCATAATCATCAGTATTAAAACAATTAAAGACCTGAAATATTTCAGTTGGTGTGCAATGAATCTGAAATATATGAAAGTTTCATTTTTATCATTACATTATGGAAAATAATGACCTTTATCACAATATGCTAATTTTTTGAGAAGGACCTGTAGAGATGGTTCTGTCTTCTCCAGAACAGAGCTCGTCTCTCCAGTCAGAAGTTCAGGAATTTCTGACGAAAAACGTGATTTCCAGAGTTCCCAACGATGAGGAAAATACAGGGATTTTTCCTCCCACTACTTCCTTGTTCTGATAAAAAAACGGAGGGATGAGACCCATTCTCGACCTGTTCATGTTCAGCAATTCGATCATGGGGAGACAATTTCGCATGCTGACAAACAGCTGCCGGAGAACTTCACCAGAACAACTGGTTTTTACCTCCTTAGATCTGAAGAGCGCATATTTTCACACTTCCATCATTTCTGAAACACCCCACGCACATTCTCGAAATGCATGGAGACGGCTCTGTAGTCGTTACGCATGGCAGGAACGAGAATTCTTTTTATCTGGGCGATCTGCTTTTATTAGCTCGGTCCAGTTAGAAAGCAGTCGCACAGACCAAAATGCTAGTGTTACACCTGCTAAACCTGTGGTTTTTCTATAAACTGGGAAAAAGTTCAGTTCGTCCGTCCCAGATGATTGTTTATCTGGAAGTGGAGCTAAACTCATCTACAATGAGAGCCATTTATCACAGCTGAGAGCTGAAGCTCTATCAGTTCAGCTCCGCCGTGTCAAACCCAGTTCCGCCGTGTCAAACCCTGCAGCATAGTGACAGTCTGCCTGTTATGCGACGCCTGGGACGATGTCAGCGGCCCACATCATGGTTCCGCTGGGCCTACTTCACATGAGACGCCTTCAGAGATGGTTCACCCGCCTGCGCATAGATCCTGTGTGCCAGAAGAGGCGGGTTATCTTTGTGCCCCCCTCCGTGAGAACCGATCTGAATCACTGGGGAAACCCCCTCATTCTGTCAGAGGGAGTTCCCATCAGCAGGCCTACGTCACACGTCTCAGTTTTCACAGACACGTTCCTGTCAAGCTGGGAGGAATGTGTCTGTCCCAGGTAGTGGGAGCACAGTGGCTGGACCACATGTCGCTTCACATAAATGTGCCAGAATGTTTTTACGGTCTAAACGTGACTGAGCATTTTGCTCCCCTGCTACGGGATCAGCATGTTCTGATCCACACAGAAAACAAAAGTGACGGCAGTTTACATAAACCATTAGGGAGGCGTGCGCTCAACCTAACTGTTATGCATCGTGAAACAGCTGTTGCGTTGGGCACACAAAAACCTGCTCTCCATCAGAGCAGTGTACATTCCCAGTGTCCTGAACAGGAGAGCAGATATCATGTCAGGGGGCGGTCCCCGCCACAGAGACTGGAGCCCCCATCCCGAACTGATCTCTCAGAATTGGAGCAGGTTTGGCTGAGCAGCAGTGGATCTGTCTGCCACACAGGAGAACGTCCAGTGTCATTTATGGTTCTCACTGAGCCCACGAGACGACCCACCATTAAGAGTGGACGTCTTCGCTCACAGCCCGTGGCCAAAAATGCTCCTTTATGCGCATATATCAAAGTGGACAGCTTTTCAGTGCTGGTGCAAGGAGAAAGGTGTAGAGGCCATCTCATGTCCCCTCGGTGGCATGCTGTCCTTTCTGTAGCAGCTGATGGACAGAAATTTAGCGTTCAGTACAATTAAAATTATGCTGCAGCTATTTCTTCATGAGGGCTTCAGTGACAGAACAGTTTTTAATCACCCGTTGATGAAGCATTTCCTGAAAGGTGTACGGAGACACAGACCGGTGTCACGTCCACTAGCTCCACAGTGAGACCTAATGATGGTCCTGCACGCTCTGATCAAAGCTCCTTCTGAGCCTTTAGATCAGGTTTTACTTAAATTTCTGTCATTTAAAACAGCCCTGCTGTTAGCTTTGATGTCGGCAAAGAGAGTGAATGATTGTCTGCTCTCTCTGTTGCTCCCTCGTGTCTCAGAATTCAAGCTGATGGCAGTTCAGCTGTACTGCGTTTTTAACCCTGCTCTGAAAAGCATCACAAGCTCATTCAAATCGAGAGTGATAACCTTGAATGGGTTTTTATCGTCTTCCACGTAATTCTGAGGCGGAAGCAACATCTCACCTCCTTCTGTCCCATGCGTGCATTTTCATGTTACATGGCGCACATGGCCGCACTGTGCCGCTTTCAGCGTATGTTTGTGCATTACTGGGACAGCTCTTCAGGACGTCCTCTATCCACCCAGCGCCTCTCACACTGGTTGTGTGAGGTTATTTCTGAAGTTTACAGTTCATCTGGACTGGATCTTCCAGAGAATCTCAGCACATTCCACCAGAAGGTTTTCATCCTCCATGGCTCTGCATGGAGGGATGACAGTGGAGGATATTTGTATGGCGGCTGCCTGGTCATCGCCATGTTCAATTATTTGTTTTTATCTATGTGATGTTTTTACTTTCTCCATGACCCATTCTGTTCTCAGGTTTCTGACAGAATGATTATTATTTGTTTCATGGAGCCTCACTTTGGAGCTCACACCTGCCTGCATGCAGTCGCAGTGTGAGATATTTATTATCAGTCACAAGTTCATGACTGCTGATTTTATCGTTATTAATTGGTTCATCCTGAGGAGCTGTTGGTCTGCTCTGTTCATCGTTACACTGTTACAATTCATATCTTCCGTTATTCCTATTCACAGCAGCAGTTCTGCTATCTCAGCCTTTTTCCTCACCAGAGATCTTTTCTCTCCGGTGCACTCCTGCACATGGAAAACGCAATTACGCAGCGCGTAACTATACACACAGAAGGCTGAGTGATTAAATTTTTTTTGTGCAAGCCGGTGCTTCATGTTATGTCTGAATGGACCCA